ACAATTTTCTTGTGTTTCCCCCCAACTCCCGTCATATCCTGATGTTTTTTAAAAGTTCTCAAATGTTTTTCTAAACCCTGGCCTTTTGCTCTTGGCACTGCCAGGGTGAACAAACCCAGGCTTCTCTATACTGGGAACACCAACTCATCTCCTGGGTGACTCTGAGCCTGTCACTCTCCTCCCTCCGGAGCCCCACCCTCCCATCTTCTCCTTGGTGGCCCCTGCTGAGCGCCTGGCCAGGCCTCCAATTGAGGACCAGCAGGATCCTCTTCCAGTGGCTGTGCGGCTGTGCGGGTTGCACTAGAGCCCGCCTCACGTGCAGACTTGGGCAAGCATGGGACCAAGTCCAACTTATCATTACATGATTTGGAGGAACGAAGAGTGGAAAGGAAGGCTGGAGGGGCGACTTACTAGGCAACTGTAAGTCAGAACAAGAGATGCAAGAAAACTGAAAAAAGGCAGTTGCCATGGAAACAATGAGAGAGAAGAGCAATAAAATCTATGGGATGCCGCAGTGTGTTTCATGCCAAATCATGTATAAGTCCCTACAATGTACTGAGAGCTGGGTCAACTGGAAAGCGAGGGGGTAAGTAGGTCTCACCCCCCCACCACCAAAAAAAATCCCAGGGCCAGAGGAGGGAGGAAGACCCCCAACTTCCACCTGAGTATGCAACAAAATAAGCCTAAAAAGTGGCTCATCTGTTGGCTTGAAGGGTACAGGTAATATTCCCACCTTACAGACAAGGAGACTGAGGCAGAGTGAAATCAAGCAGAGATAACTTAGCCAAGACTGTCCAGCCACAGGCGGGCAGAGCTGGGATTCAAACCTGAGCTGCCCAGGTCGGGAGTGAGCTGGAAAATTAATCTGCCCAAAGCCAGCTCCTGTCAATTCTGCAGAGCTGGGACTGGGTGAGGCGAGGGGACAGCTTTACCCTCAGCTTTGCTCAAGGGCTGATCCTGCTCTTGGAGAGAGGGTGCCTCCCTCGTGTGATCTCACTGGGCCTGCAGTCCTGCACCTTCTCTGTTCCCACCGCCCCAGTGTGACACCCAGCGGCCCCGGCCTGCCACTGGGGGCCACCGAAGGCTGAACTGCTCACCTCTCCTCCTTCCCCCTCTCTCCCCTTCTGATCCACTGCCTCGAGCCCAGTGCTAGACCACACCCACCCGTAGGTCCCCCTTGGCGCACATCTAAACCCCCATCCTAGGCTGGGATAGAGCTTAGTGGTAAGAGCACCTGCCTGGCTCGCACGAGGCCCTGGGTTCAAGCCCAGTACTACAAAGGGGGGGGCAGAAAAAGAATAAAACCGCCACCCTTCATCAAGGGAGGGTCCCCAGGAAGCCTCTAGGCGAGGTCCTCCTAGCAAGACCCTCCCTTTGGGACAACGGCTGTCCTAGCAGAGCATCTCTCTCCTGTCTGCGCTCGTGCCCTGGGGACCTGTCATTCTTGCAACTGCAACACCCTCGCTGGCTGAAGCTCTGGCATTTATTTGAAGTCGCCATCCTGCACCTCCTTCTGTGACTCCAGACTGGGGCCCAGAGCAACTCAACGCCTCTACACAGGTGGCCAACGGGCATCTCAAACAGCCCCCGAGAGGACACCCCTGGTGCCCCCAGCCACTCCCCTGCCCACAGCACTCCTGTCTCCGTGAAGGGCATCCGTCCTCGGTCACTCTATTCTACCCTTGCTCACTTGACTCCAAAAAGTTATTTCTCCCTCCTCTCAGTCACCCTCTGCCTCGGCCACGAGTCCAACAGGCTGAAGTCATCCTTGGCTCTCCCCAACCCACACCCACCCACACTCAATCCTACTTGCCAGTGACCAGGATGAGGCTCCCCCTGCATGACACCATCTTCCCGCCTTGGGTGACCGTCCCCGCTGCTGGGCTTGCCCACCACCTGCCCTCAGCCCAGCTACCAGAGAGCTCCTGGTCCCTATGAATGGGAACATGCCCCTCCTCTGCCCAGAGTCCTCCAACAGGTGCCAGTCCAACACGGCCCCAACGTGTCCCCTCCCCGCTCCCCTTCTGACCTGACTCTATTCTACTCTTGCTCACTTGACTCCACTAAAGAGTTATTTCTCCCTCCTCTCAGCCATCCTCTGCCTCAGGGCCTTTGCACTGGTTGATCTGTCTAGAATGTACCTTCTCCCACATCTCCTCCGAGGCTTCAGCCACATGTCACCTCACTGGGGTCTTCCTGACCACCTGGTGGAATTCCACTCTCCACACCCCACAGCCTGACCCGTTTGGAGCTTTCTCTAACACTTATCACCATCTAACACGCTGAGGAATTTACTTATCTAGATTATGTTTGCCTGTTTCCCTCCACTGTAAGGAAAGCCCCAAGGACAAGGATTTTGGAAGATTTGTTCACCACTGAGCTCTGCCGCCTAACACATTATTACCAGGTACATAGAATTTGCTGAAAGAACTAAGAAAAAAAACCACTTCTTGCACATCCCCCACCCCACATGCACCTTCAGAGCAAGGTGCTCGCTCTGTTCCCAGTGTAACTTGGCAGTGAGGAGCATTCTACTGGCCTAGCAAACACCCTGGATGGCGTTTGCTTTTGCGATTATTAAACCAGCTCTTCCTTATTTTCCAGACCGAGTCAGAGGGTGTGGTCACCACACAGCCAGGGAAGCCAATACTGAAGCCTTGGATGTCTCACTTCCGGTCAGCACCTGTGCTGCCTGCATATCTACTGAGTGCAGGCCATAGGGCCAAGGACCCATCTGGGCCTTTTTCCAAATCAACATAGGCTTTCAAAGTTTCTCGACTGCTTTGCCTTCAAGGGTGTGCTTCTACAGCAGGGTGCGTTTGAGCATGTACAAGAACCTACCAAGGACAGCTGTCTCCTGGTCCCAGCTGTTTTGCTTTGACCTTGATGTTGCACAGGCAGCTTCACGAAGTCAGCCCTCGGTTGCTGCTTCTGCAAATGGACTTAAAGGAGCTGACTTTCCTTTGCAATCTCAAATAGCATGAAATAGTGCCGGGCAGGTGGACGGTCGAGCGAAAGGATTTCACTCAGTGGTGAGGCTGTGCACGGATGATCCAAATCTGGCTCCTCCTGGGATGCCCAGAGGCCGACACACACACCAAGTGCATCAGCAGGAAGCATGCTGCAGCAAAAGCTTCCTTGTAGAATTTCCGGTTTAAAAAGTTAAAAATAAAAATAAAGCCCTTTTCTTCTCTTAAATATGACTTTATGAAATGTTGAAAGCCAAATGCCCAGATTTAAAGGGAGTGTAAGAGAAGAGGCCCTGACTGGCTGTGCTCTCTCCAATGCCCAAGTATCAATTCTCTATTGCTGCAACCACTGACTCCAACCTTGGTGCACGTTTAGTCCACTCTTAGGTTTCCTAATGAGGACCTGATCATGAGTGCTACGGTATGAATGTGACCCTCAAGGTTTCACATTCTGGAAGCGTGGTCTTGGTGTAGCAGCAAAAGGTGGAAGAACCTTTAAGAAGTCCTGAGGTTACTGGGGGCATTAATCCCAAGGGACAGACATAGTTGGTGGGGGGCTCTGATAGAGTCAGAGCATCTGGGCCAGAACTGGCACCACATAGTTGGAACAGAGCTAAATAAACCTTTTCACCTAATTAAAATTTACCTGGCTTTAGGTATTTCACTATGGCCATGAACACACATATCGGTCAAGAAAGACCAGACTGTGCGTGCAAATGAATATACGTGAGGAATTGGCTCAACATCATGGAGCCTGAGGCCTGTCCTACCTGCAAGGTGCAACAGGAAAGCCAGTGGTGTAGTTCTGTCCAGCTGCAAATGCTGGAGAACCAGAAGCAGAAGGAAAGTCAATTCCCCTCTGCCTTGTTTTACTTGGACCACCAAGGATGGGACGACGCCCACCCACACAGGTGGGGGGGTCACTTTACTCGGCCTAATTCAAATGCTGGTCATCCAGACACACCTAGAAACGTGTGGCAGCTACCTGGGCAACAGTTCAGACCCAGTCGAGTGGACACAAAATTAACCACCAGACGGTTTTTCTGTTTCTGTCCTTTCAGTTACATTTCAATTTCCTGTCCAAAAGAGATGTTCGGGATCCCGCATGGCCATCTCTGATGGCTCCTGATTCATGTGGCAGGACTCCACCAGCCAAGTCAGTTACACCAACCTCTCAAATGCCAGGCTTTGTAGACATGGGGCAGCGGTGAAGACCCTCAGCAGGTTCTGGTGTAGAAGACGCACTCACGTCTCCACAGCGAAACTCAGTGTGCCCAAGACGACAAAGTGACTGAGAACAGAGGATGGAGGTGGAGGCTTTCAGAGCAGGTGGCCCTTGGGAGAAGCCAGCAGTGCACAGTGCATCTGGGACAGAGTGGGTACGGTCAGACATGCAGGGACAGATCCAACGTCTGATGAGGGACGATGGACCCAGTGTTTCAAGACCTCAGGGGCTTGAAGCAGGCAAGACCGGGCCACAAAATCCTGGCTGTGTATCAGAAGTCAACTGGCAGAGGGAAGACCAGCTAGAAGTTCTGGTTTAGATGTTAGGTGTCCCCCAAAAGTTCATGATAATGCGAGAAAATTCAGAGGTGAAATGGTTGGGCCACGAGAGCATTAACCTCATCAGTGCATTAACCCACAGATGGGGATTAAATGGTGTTGGCTGTCTAGGGACAGATTCTCTGAAACCGTGCGCACCAAATAGACTTTTCCTTCTCTAATGTTGTCATCAGGTCTTGGTCACAGCAATGACAGGTGTTGGAACATCTCATACCAGGCTGCAGTGCAGACAGCACTGTGGCAGGTGGAAAATGACAACCCCCAGGAATGGTCCCTGAAGACTCCCACCTGGTAGGGAAACGGGGCTCGGTACAGTAGGGGGCTGGGGTGGCGGTGACAGCAGCCCACAGTCACCCCATGTGGAAAGGAAACAACACCCCTTGAAAAGATCTGTTAAGCATTGGCATAAAATGGGGGTTTCTGGGGTTGACTGACGCATGTGAGTGAATGATCTGAGCACACAATCCGCAGCTTTGTAAACTTTATTGAATACTTACATGCCTGGGCACTGCCAGGGGCTGGGGAATGGTGACGAGTCTATTTATACCCCAAATAGGTATCTGCTCAGTCCAGAAAGGAGGCAAAGGTCACACGCCACCTCCTGGCACTATGTGAGGGGCAAGTGAGCGTCGCAGTCCTGGAGTCCAAGGCACTGGGATAGCAGAGTGGGCCTCGGCGGGTGGGGCAGCTTCGTCTCCCTCAAGACCAAGGCTGGTGGGTCAGATCGGGACAAGTGGACCAAGGGAACTGGCAGTCACCAGTGCCATCACCAGTGGAGAACTGCGGCTCACGGCTGGCCTTGCCGGGGCTTCTGCTCAGCAGCTCGTTCCTAACCGTCTTCAACACAGAGCCAGAGAGGTGTGCCCCACAGTCCCAAGGCCATCACTCAACAAGACGAGTGGGTCATTAACACCTTTTAATGTTTCACATTGTTTTTTTTTTTCCCAGAAGATTTGTAACACAAATACATGGAATTCAGTGAGTCACAGTACTTTGGGCCATGAACTCAATCTAAACAAGTCTATGAAATGTATCCTCGCGGGGCGGAGCGCTCCGTTCCCCTGGAAGAATCAACATGATTAGGTGCCCTCACCTCACCTGCCTGCTCCTTCATCTCGGGTTGGCAGCCTTGGGGGGGATTTAAAAATGTAAATAAATAAAATTGAACACACACCTCGGCTCCCCTCCCCCTGCTGCCTCCCCATTTTCTTCATACAGAGGCACGAGGCAGGGCCAGGGCCCAGTGTTCTGCTGACCAGATGCCAGGCAGACACAGGGGTTCCCTGAGGTGGCCAGAAATGTGCGTGAAGCAACCACTCAGTGCTACAGGTAAGAAGGACAGGCAGGGCTCCGAGGGGATGCAACGGGAGCTGCAAGAACCGCCGGCAGGAGCCTTGATGTCCCCAGCACACGTCCTCCGCCCACTGTGGAGAAGTGCCGCTCAGCCGCAGCACAGAGCCGGCAACTCCCAGGACTCGCCAGGTTCAGTTCACAACACAAATCAAAATCACATGGTTTTTAAATGAAATCCTTCACATCCACCTGTGTTCAAAAATTAAATAACTTATGTTTTTAACAACTTCCTTAAAAAATCAATTATCACAGACTTAAATCCAAAGTGTGGAAAGACCTACTTTCCTGTGAATGTAGTTCTTCCAAAGGGACAGATACGCGCACACTCAACAAACAGCTGTGGGGTTTTGTGTTTTTAGCTAAAAGCTAAACCCACCAGACAGTTTTAAGCAAGTGAAGCCTTTTCCTTGCAAATGGCCTCAGCTCACTTAGACCAACACACACAAGCAAAAGCAAGGAAGACAGTGACTGTTCTCTGCAGGGCGTGCGACCGCCCCCAAGGACCATGGTGGGAACCACCACCCAGTTCCACACAGTGCAGCATTCCTTCAAGTGGGCCATTCCTCTTCCTGCACAGAACTTAACAGTGACGTAGCCCATGAGAGCCAATCTGGGAAGGGGCGGTCACAGCTGTACGTGTTTAAAGGAGACACAGCTCAACAAGCCAGTTTGGCATTCAGACAGACACATCTTGGTCATAGGGACGTTCTCTTCCATGGGACAAACCTATGTAGTTTCCAAGCGAGCCAGCTCACCCCTTTCAGGCAGCAGGACACTGTGGATATTCTAGTCAGGGCTTGCTTTGGACAAAAACTGATAGCTAATATTTTTCATCTCTAGTATCATTAATCCTATGGAGAAAAAAAACATATGATCAATGCTAGACAGCTGAGAATGTGTAAGAAAACCACGCAGTAAAGGCAACGTTGAACTCATCTGACAGCTGTTCCATCACCGCCCACCACTCGGGCTTGAGGCTGGTGACTTCATGGACGCATCACTCCGATGCACTGCCAGTTCAGTTTCGAGTCTGTGATGGTGGCCCCAGTGTGACGCTGCCTGCCTCCACTCACCGCCTCCTACCCCTGAGGTCCAAGGGGCCTTGGGTGATGGTGAGCACAGCACCTTGAATAGGTGCCAAGAGCCCAAGAAGCTTTCTGAAAACTGCCTTGGATTTGGGCAAGGAAACAAGTCAGTGGCTTGGAGTCCTGGCAGGCGCGTCCACACTGGGAGCTTAACCTCAGCAGCCAGCCTGAAGGATGTCGCCCCCAGAGCGTTTGGTCACCGACAGCGTTGTGAACACCTGCAGGAGAAAAGACACAGCTGTGTTCAGACCCCTGAGCAAGGGACTTGACAGGTAACACCACACGCACTGGAAATGACTCGTGACTACTTAATGCAACAGAGAAGCCCTGTGACCTCTATTCTCTAGAGGGGAGAAGGCAAACCACGTTAAAACCCAGGTGAAAACAACACAGGTTACATCAAATGGGGAATTTTGGCAGCACGAGTGTGAGGAAAACAAATCCGCTACCCAGCGGCCCTCAACTCTGAAAGAAACCCATCACCAATACTGGGGCCCAGGAACAGGAGTGAAGAACACGATCACCAGCACCCCTGGGCCCAGGCTGTTGGGCAGCCCCACATCTGCCTCTCCCAGAGGACTGCAGCCCTCTTCTCTTTCCCTAATCCATGGCTCATCACTCCTGTGCACTTCTTTTGTAGTTAAAAACAAAACAAAAAACCTCACACATGTGGCAAGATGCTGTACATACTACTCTGCTACTTTCTTGGCTCTGTATTTCTAAAACTCACCCATATCACAAATAGCTCTAATTCTATTTTCCACTAAATGGAAATTCAATTCAATTATTGCAGCATGCTACATGCAGAAGTCGGTTACTTAAATAGGAAAGACATCATAAGTCACCCCCCAAACTCCTCCTGGCCATCCAAGCGGTGGCCACTGTGCTCTTTGCAACACGCTGTGGAGATATTTTGGAATGTCTCCTTGCACAAAGAGCTCAGAGGGCAGGTGACTTCAACTTGGCTGGACTTCTGAGGTGCTTAAACCAACTAACCTTGTCCCATGCAATAGCCAATGAGCTCTTTTGTTTCAGATCTTGGCAAACAGTGGGTGGTTGTGGGCTTAGAGCCTTAACGACTGCAGTCAACTTTGACCTGCTACTGCTCATGACTGCCTGCACAGAACAACTGTCCCCAAATGTGAGCGAATGAATCCTGCTGCTCATACTTTGCCTGGAACGCAGGAAAATTACACTGACTCTAATTATACTAATCATAGAATTATACAAATTCTGATTTCCCAGGGCAGGGTTCAGGAACCTCATTTTTAGCCGAAGCCCCAAGTGGTTGCATATAGTGGGATTTCCGTGGCACACCAGAGCAGGAAACGCACTGAGGGTTCCCAACCTAGAAATCAAGCCACAGAAGACCATCAACAGCATCTTTCTGCAGTTTCACTAACTGTAGGAAACTTCCCTGCAGCCAAGATTTTTAAGAACATAATACTTCAACATCTAAAAATAGACTTTCATTCCTGGTCTAATGGAGTGTTGGTACCAGATCAGCTCTCTCTCTTAAGCAACCCCAAAACTATATGCAACTGACATTTTAGACACTGGACAACGGTTGGCAGACTGTGATCCCTAAAGAAAAAACAAGGTAAACCTGCAACCTTTTACCTGCTTGGCTTCCTACCTGCAGCCATTAACCTAACCCTGGCAAAAGGGAGGGGGTGGGGGGCAAGAACAGCAGAAGCTCAGGGCTTGAAGAGACAAGGCAGACTAGATCCCGGGAGGATGCAGTGGCCAGAAAGCTGTGAGGCACAGTCCCCAAGAGAAGGGAGCCACCTACCTCCAGAAATCTGCACACAGGACCCACATGGCCAGGAACGCCACCACCCAGGAGCTGTAACCCCACTGCCACCCAAGCTCATGGGGGTCAGTAGAGGTTCCAGTTGTCTTCCTGCAGGCAAGAAGGTCACTGAGCCCCTGGGCCACTCAGAGATCTCAGGAAGCCACCCCTTAGGAGAAAGGCTACTTACTACTAGCCCTGGAGTAAAAGTTGCTCTAGGCCAACTTGAAAACAGGCTCCCATTAACAGCTGCCTAACATAAGAAAACCCATCTGTCATTCTTCAGAGAAAGACAATATAACCCAGGTGCCCAAAACAGATTCAAAGAGCTGGGAGGAAATGTCAACCTAGAATTTCAAAGTCAATAACAATATCCTTCCAAGAAGAAAGTCAATAAAGACATTTTGAGACAAATAAAACTTGAGTGACTTTGTCCCTCACAGAGCTATACTACAAAAACCCCTTTAAGACAAAGTGAGGACGTAGCAAGGAGGTGCCGATGCCCTTCCCACCAAGACCCGCCTGCAATGTGCCCCTTCTGGTGACACTTCCTTCCTCCCTTCGCCACAGCAGCCAGAAGTGGCCTTGTTCCGTCATCACCTGCCCCGACCCCCTTACTTATCCACACAGTCTTACGGAGAGCAGGCCGTGCCAGTTTTAGCCAGCTTTCCCACTGCTGTGACAGAAGACCTGATAAGAACAATTTTAAGCAGGAAAAGTTTATTTAGGGGCTCATGGTTTCAGAGGTCTCAGTCCAGACAGCCAGCTCCACTCCTCAGGCCTCGAGGGAAAGCAGGGCATCATGGTGGAGAGTGTGGAGGAGGCAAGCAGCTCAAGACATCGCATCAGGAATGGGGGGCGGGTTCCCACTTGACCGATACAAAATACACACCAACACCATACCTCCAGTGCCCACCGGCTCTGCTCCAGCCACACCCTGCCTGCCTTTAGTTACCCCTGTTAACCCCCATGAGGGTATTAAATCACTGATTGGGTTAAGACTCTCGTGACCCAATCGCTTCACCTCTGAACCTGCCTGCATTGTCTGACACGTGAGCTTCTGGGGACACTTCACATCTAACACCACGGCAGCCCAAACCTCTGTTACTCTATTTTGCAAAACAGTAGCCTGCCATAGCTACTCCATTCTGAGTTCAAGTGCTGAAGTGGGATGGCACCACACCTTGTTTGGACAAGTAAACCACCACCATCCGCCTGGCACAACCACAAGGCATGACCGCTAAATAAACTGTGCTAATAAGAGGACCCCCTGTGAGCTTACACATTAATCAGGAGCACATGGATGCGTGGGAATATCAAACACATCAGAAACACCAGGCCCATAAACTTACTGAACCACCAGACCACCAATGAGGCAACCCCCTCATTCAAGACCCATAAGAGGAGGAGCACCCCATGATGCGACATGGTGGCACCCTGACCCCATCACCTGGTCACTCCTGACAAGCCTTGCCCAAGAAAATCGCCAGTGATGAACCTCTGATCTCTGCCCTCGGGTTTTAGAAGACTACGGTTTCTCCCACCGTAACAACCATGCGTCCCCCGAAAGCTGACACCTCAAGCTAACACTGTGAACTTGCTGCTGTCTGGACCTTGTCCGAGAGTAAGCTCCTGTGCTCTGACAGCTCTGTGCCCAAACAAGTTCTTCTGCTGGTTCCTACTCCTGTCTGACCACCTGGAGCGACTCTGCCTCATGTCTGCTCTCCCTTGCTCAGTTCAGCCTCCTGAACCCCCGTGGCCACTGTAACCCTTTCTTAGCCTTTCTGTAACCTACATGTGCAATTGTGTTAAGTGTGCGACTTGAGTGTTACAGGTGTTAGAAATTAAGATTGGGATAAAAGAACCTCTGACTGCCCAGCTTATGACTACCAGGTGACCCACAAGTATTCGGTGACCGCCACCGATGAAAAGTAGTGTGGGCTTATTATTGTTACTTATTACTTATTGTTCCTTATTGTTACTCATTAATCCCGACACTGGAAAGACGCATGCGTACTGGTCTACGTTAATGGCATGACTTGCTCAGGACACCTCTTTCCCAGCACTTCTCCTGGGCTTTCAAAAGGGCTCAGGTGCCGCCTTCTCACCACAGCCCTCCTCCAACCTGCAGGTCTCCATCCTCCTCTCAGTGATCTCAGCTGCTGCCGCCTGGGCTCTACCACCACTCCCTTTTTCTTTGGAGTCTGGTTGCACCCTCAAGTCCCCCTCTCCCACATTTCACTGCCAAATGCAGGGGACAGACAACTCGTGGGCCTCACTTTATGCAGTCCCTCTGCAGCACGGTAGCATTTCCTGTTGGCCTCACACACCTTTTAACCATCCAGTCCTCCTCTTGTTCCCATGACAGCGCTCCTCCTGTGTCCTCCTCTTGCAGCCACTCTGTCACAGCCCAGGTGTGCTGAAAGGCCCACTGCACTCAGGTGTCCAGAACCTCTGGCTATCTGGCTGCAGATCCCAGCTGCCTGGTCTGTCCACCCCAATGTGCTACACAACTGTCACCATCATCCATGTATGTGTGACAGGAAAAGGGCCAGGAGGCAGCGCCTGGGCCCTGCTCAGCTCTTCCCACTGGGTGCTTGCAGTAAGCTCAGGCACTCTGATGGGCACATGATCTGCAAGTTCCAGCCATCTCCTCTCAGCTGAGACGTAGCAAACACCTCTTCCTGGATGATACATGTCCAATACGGAAGCCATGATCTGGTTCTTCTCAGGCAAAACCATTCCCTGGCAGTTCAGATCATGCATTTGAGATTCCTAATTCTTTTACCTCCACTACTGCTGATGTGTAATCAACTATTTTATTTATTTTACCTCTTTTCTGTCAAATTTGAACTCTTAATGCTGACATCTGGTTCAAATTCCTATAATTCTGATTAAATGCTTCTATTTGATTTTCGTTAATTCACAAAATAGACATATAGTGCCTTCCACCATTTATAGTCCCACGCTGTCGAAAGGCAAGGTGGGGGCCGTGGGTCTGCTGTAGCCAAGGACACATCACTTCCGAGTAGCCACTGGCTCCTTCACTGAGCCAACAAGGATCAGGAAGACTGCGCCATCAGCCTGACCCTGAGTCACACCTGACCAACGATGGCCACAGAGTACCAACAAGAAATATGTCTTGGCTTCTGGGAACAAACCAATCTAACAAGCAAAAACAAGAACTCACCATTCAAGCTCATATCTATACCCAGGCATGAAAATTTAAAAATGCTTTGCACTCAAATCAAATTTAGAAATGTATTTTGTTTTGAAGTACAATTCAGACTTCAAGCCAGATCTTTCTGATCTCACTGAGCAAGCTGGTTTGAGAAAAAAACACATAAGCAAAATTCAACTAGAGGGGAAACTATAGTAGTTGTTCATTCCTATAATCAAATGCCTGAGGCTGGCTAACTTTATAAA